CCTCCGTGCCCGATCCCATCCTCCGTGCCCGATCCCGTCCTCCATGCCCGATCCCATCCTCCGTGCCCGATCCCGCCCTCCGTGCCCGATCCCGCCCTCCGTGCCCGATCCCTTGACACAATCCCTGCCCCCCAGGCCCACATCCCTGGACGGGCATCGTGGCAGAATCCATGCAGACACGTCGCCCCTCCAGCCTGGCATCCTTGGCACGTGTTGCTCCCCACGCTGACTCCCCGTCCAGGGATTCTCAGCCACGTATCCCGCCTCCATCCTGGGAATCCCAGCCATAAGCGGCCCCTGCACCCGGGATCCCTGTTCGGATCAACGCCCCCCTCGCTGCCCGTGCGCAGCTGCCCCACGGTCCCAGCGAGCGGGCACATTAGCTGGCCTCAACTGCTGGCGAGGCGCCGCTAATTGCCTCTCCTCGTTACGCTAATAGCTCTAATCACTCRTAACGATTTTCCCGTCCTAGCGTGGCCCGCAGCCCTCGCTCGCCCCACGCTCCATTAGGGACAAGCCCACCCGCAGCCTGGGATCTGCCCCGGGCACCTCGGAAGGGCTTTTCCCAGAGCCCCACAGTGCGGAGCCGGGCACTGAGGCCTCCCTGGGGCTGCCTCCGGCCTCCCGCATGGATAAGGCCGGAGAAGACATGGATAAGGCATCTCCAGAGCTAATGGGAAATACTGCTCGGGGACACTTGTTATTGCGGAGATGCCTTTGGAGCCCCACGGAGACCCCCCGGGCTGCGGGTGGGATGGGGCAGGGGGGCTGCTCGGGGTCTCAGCAGTGCATCCCCTGCCAGGATGTGCAATGCTGGGTTTGCCCTGGTGTCCCCCACAGAAGAGTTGCGATTTGCAGTGGAAAATAAGGAAAATCCAAGGTGCTGTGGCTGGTCGGTTGGGCTCTGGCTCCTGCAGCCACCCATTCCCGCTTGGTCTGGGGCAATATCCCAAATCCCGGCCATGCACTTGGCTTGCAGGGCATCCCTGGGGATGCTCCTGGCCTCCAAAAAGACCCTTGGAGGCCAGGGGGACCATCAGACCCTTGTTAACCCTCATTAGCGGGGGGCCTCTCCCCAGCCCGGCCCTCTTGGTGCCTCCGCGGCCCCAGGCAACTTTTCCAKGGAGCAGAGCCGTTAATTACCTCATTGCCAGAGTCCATTAGGGCTCCCGCCGGAGCTGGTGAAATGGAGCAACTTCGGGGTGGGGAGGAAAATCGATCGGGGCTGAGCACCGCGGGCGGGAAGCGGGCGGCAAGGGAGCCGCTCGATGCTCCCGTCCCCGCGGGGAGCCGGCGCCGTCCCCGCCGAGGGAACCAAGTCACGGGTGCCCCGTGCCCGAGCCCTGCGGGAAGGGGGGGCTCTGTGGCCACCTCCAGCCCCGGGGCAAGCGCTGGCTCCACGGGCCACCTCCCCGGGGCTCCGCGGCCACCGCGCTCCGCGGCCCGGCCGCAGCTTCCCGGCCGCAGGGAGCGGTATTGACCGGAGAGGCCATTTAGAGCGCGGCGCTGGAAAAGCTCAAAGTTCTAATCTTGTTCCTTGCTCAAATTAGATAAGAGGGGAAAGCCCATCCATCAGCGCGGGCGGCAATTAGAGGGGGCCCGAGGAAGCGGGGCGCTGGCCCGGCCGTGCCGAGCGGCACCGCGAGCCCCCCGCGCCCCCCGCRCTGCAGCCCCGGGCACGGACACGGCTGCGGGGAGCCCCAGCTCCCTTGGCTCCCCGCTCTGTGTCCTGGGGGCCACCGTTGTCCCCTCCCCAGGCTGGGGAGCCCCTCAGCTCCCCGGGCCCTGGCTTGGTGTCCCTTGTGCCTATCGGTTCCCCAGACCCCAGCTCAGTGTCCCCTGCACCCTCGGCTCCCCAGTTCCTGGCTCCATGTCCCCTGCACCCTCAGCTCCCCAATTCCTGGCTCGGTGTCCCCTGCACCCTTGGCTCCCCAGTTCCCGGCTCCATGTCCCCTGCACCCCTAGGTTCCCAAGTTCCTGGCTCGGTGTCCCCTGCACCCTCAGCTCCCCAGACGCCGGCTCGATGTCCCCGGAACCCTTGGCTCCCCACTTTCTGGCTCCGTGTCCCCTGCACCCCTCGGCTCCCCATGTCCCCGTGTCCCTCGGCGGTGGCCGAGGAGCCGCCAGGGCCCGGCCAGCGCTGCCTCATTACGCAGATGAAATCAGCCCAGCTCCATTACGAGCAGATCCAGGTCGCCAGCATTACCGAGGCGGCCGGGATGATTAAGTGGGCGCTGCAGGGCATCCGATAACCCCTGGGACGCGCTGACAGTGTCCGGGGAAGGGCAGGCTCCCCCCGGGCACGGCGCCTTTTCCCTTCTCTGGGTGACAGCGCGAGCACCCTTGGGTGCCCCCTAAAAGGCTGTGGGGCGCTCGGGCTGTCTCCCCTCACCCCAGCGCCGGGTGGCTTTGCCTCCCCCTTCCCGTCGGGAGCATCCCGGCTCCAGAGGCGGCGCGGGCAGCAAGTGCTTTTATTGCGGAGCGGCTCCGCTGCAGCGCGCGGGGCGGCCGGGCTCGGGACGCGGGGAGCAGTGAGGCCGCGAGGCGCCCGGTCCTGCCGCAGCCGCCCCCCCCGGCGCATTCCCCCCGCATCCCAACCCCTGGAAGCGCCTGGGAAGCGGGAGCGCCCGGCTCCAGTGCAAGGCGCTGGGGTGCCCGGCTCCATGGGGATGGGACGGGGGGCTCCGGCAGGGCGGGCGCACGGGATCCCGTGTCCTCCGGGTGCAGGAAGGGGGAGCGCGGGGGGCGGCTCAGCCCAGGATGTCCAGGTAGACGGGGGGCGCCTTGAGCAGCGCCTGCAGGCGCCCGTGGATCTCGCCGATGCTGCGGCGCTGCTGCGGCTCCCGCTGCCAGCAGCTCCGCATGATGCCGTAGACCTCGGCGGGGCAGGCGCGCGGGCGCTCCAGCTCCCGGCCCTGCGTGATGCACTCGATGGCCTGCGGGGGCGAGGGCGACGCGGYGCTGCGGGCCACGGCGGCACCCGGGAGTCCCGCATCCCGCCTCCGCACCCCGCGCTGTCCTCGCACTGCCCCCATCCTCCTTCCCCGAGCGAGGAAGAGGAGGCCGGCGCCCCGCTCGGTGCCGGATCCCGGCTCCGCRCGCGCGTGTGCCCGCCCCGGCAGCRCCCGCCGCGCCGGCCGCGTCACCTCGGTGTTGGAGAGCTGGTACCAGGGCTGCTTGCCGTAGGTGAAGATCTCCCAGAGCACCACGCCGAAGCTCCAGATATCGCTCTCGGCCGTGAACTTGCGGTACAGGATGCTCTCCGGGGGCATCCAGCGGATGGGCAGCATGGTCCGCCCGCCCACCTGCCCGGGAAAAGGGCGCTCGGAGAGCCGGGAATGGCGGGGCTCCACTTGCACCCCTTATCCCCCATTCCAAGCACAAAACACTCCGCGCCGCCCCATTCAACCCATTAAATATCCCATCCCATGCGTTAAAAACAGGGGGCAGCRGATGGGAGGCAAAAGGGGAGCGCGGTTCCCAGCACAGCTTGGGGACACACAAGGGGACACAAGGACCCCGCCGGGACCGCTCACCCGGTAGTAGTCGGTGCTGTAGATGTCGCGGGACATGCCGAAGTCGCCGATCTTCACCACGAGCTCCCGGCCCACGAGGCAGTTGCGCGTGGCCAGGTCGCGGTGCACGAAGTGCAGGGAGGCCAGGTAGACCATGCCCGAGGCCACCTGCGTGGCGATGTGCAGCATGTGGCGCAGCGTGAGCGGCCCGTAAGGCTGGCCCTGCCCGGCGTCCAGGATTTTGGCGTCGGGGCCGTGGGAGCTGCCGGAGTGGGGGGCAAGAGAGGCTGCTCGGAGCGGGGCCGCGGGGGAGCGGGGGGGACAGAGCCCTGCACAGATGTGCACAGATGTGCACGCTGCAGGGGTGTGTGCAAGAGCAGGGTGTGCGTGCACATTTGTGCATGTGTTTGCATGCATGTGCACATGCATGCATGCATTTGCACGTGTATGCACTTGTGCAAGGAAATGGCATGCATGCATGTGTGTGTGCATGTGTTTRCACATATGTGCATGCATTTGCACAGGTGTGCACATATACGCACGTGTTTGCATGTGTGTGGACATGTTTGCATGCATTTGCACATGCTTGCATAGGTGTGCAAGTGTTTGCACATGTGTGCATGCATGTATTTACATGTGTGAGCACATGTCGTGCAAGGAAGGGCATGCATACATGCGTGTGTGCATGTGTTTGCACATTTGTGCACGTATTTGCATGTGTGTGCACGTGTTTGCACAAGTGTGCCTGCATTTGCACAGGTGTGCACATGTATGCGTGTGTTTGCATGAGTGTGCACCTGTTTGCACACATTTGCACGTGTTTGCATGTGTGAGTACACGTTTGCACATATATGCATGCATTTGCACATGTTTGCATGTATGCGCACGTGTCATGCAAGGGAAGGGCGTGCATGCATGTGTGTGCATGTGTTTGCACATGTGTGCCTGCATTTGCACAGGTGTGCACGTGTATGCACGTGTTTGCAGGTGTGGGTACACGTCTGCACATATGTGCATGCATTTGCACGGGGGATGCATGTGTTTGGACGTGTTTGCACACGTTTGCATGTGCGAGCATGTGTTTGCACCTTTGTGCACGTGTTTGCACATACATGCACGCGTGTGCACGTGCGCACGGGGCGCCGGCACCAGCGCCCGCAGGCCGGGTGCGAAGGGCAGCCGGGGCTCGCGGCGCCGCGGCCTTTGATGCCGAGCGCTGCTGACAGCCGCGMGCGGGGCGCTCCGCTCGGCACGGCCACTCCTGCCAAGTCCCATCACCATAATCATAACAGCCCCGGCTCGGAGCTGAGCGCGGGGCCGCTCCAGCGCTGCCCCCCCGTCTAGCAGCAATACCTGGGGGGGCAATCGAGAAGCCTCTGCTTATTGCAGCTGATGGCCAATCTCTCTCTATTTAAGCCTCTCAGACAGCTAATCTAATCAATATTGCAAGGAGGGCTGCATTAGCAGCGAGCGCGGAGCGCGGCTGTCTGCGCGGGGAGGGCCCCGCGGCGCCCCCGGCACCCACCGGAGGAAGCGGTTGAGGTCGCCGTGCTCCATGTACTCGAAGACCATGAGCAGGGGCTCGCCGTCGGTGCACACGCCGTAGAAGCGGACGACGTGCTCGTGCCGCAGCACAGTGAGCAGCTCCGCCTCGCGCTGGAAGTCGCGGCGGGCGCTCTCCGTGGCCTCCTTCAGCGCCTGGCGCCGCGCGGAGGGCGCAGGGTGAGGCGGGACGGGCGCCGCCGAGGGTGCCCGTCACCCATGGGGTGCCGCTCACCTTCACGGCCACCAGCAGCGGGCGCCGCTCGGGCAGCAGGTTGGCGCACTCGGCGAGGAAGACCTTGCCGAAGGCGCCCTCGCCCAGC